CTTCCTGGCCCCCCATGCTGGTATGGGAGGGGGTCTTCAGAGATAGTAATGGTAAGTGCTTGTTCTTTTTCCACTCACCTGCTTGGGCAAAGAATCCTTTGGAGGAAAAAACTCAGGTTGTTTTCTGGGCCATCTCTTTTGCTAGGAGGTGTGGCATTGGGAAGCTCTAGGTTGAATATGATTTCCTTATCCTAATCAATATTTTGAATGGTCTTATGTGTAGTACTTGGAATCTTGTATATCGGACTACTTGTATTCATAACATGGGGTTGGGACTAAGTATTGTCTTTTCTCATATTCCTAGGGAGGGCAACAAACATGCTAATTGGTTGGCAAGGATTGGGCTTCACTGTGAACAGATTCTCATCAGCAAGAATGTATCTCCTTCTTTAGAATTTCCTTTGAAAGGAGACCTTTTGATATTAGGTCTATGTCTGTTTAGTTGGATGTTTGGTATTGAAAGGAGACCTTTTGGCCCTCCCTTATATTAGGTCTATGTCTGTTTAGTTGGATGTTTGGTGAGGGTTCCGCTCAGTTTTGTACCCCCTTTGATTTTTATTTGTTTCTTAATGAATTTGGAGTTGTTTTAGCTCCTTTACAATATATATATATATATATATATTTATTGCACTGTAGAATTCGATAACTTATGCAATCTCTTATTCATTTTCTAATCATCTTTCAAAGATATAAAAAAAATCATGAAACTATATATGTACTACAAATATTACATATACTTATCGCAAGTTGAAACAAACCAATTCAATCCAGCTAGGCTAGACAAGACCAATAAAAGACGAGTTCACACAAATCCTTGTTAACATTCCTTAAATTAGGAGGGAGCTCAAACTGATCAATGCTAGAACGCCTAAATCATCATAAATTAATTATGAATGAGGAAAGCACGCCATATTCCCGAAGAACTTATTAGAGTCATCATGAACTCTACAAAGATCTCAATAACTCACCCAACAGACAAGTATGCTGACATAAGGGTTCTCCTCCAAAATCTAAACCAGCTTGGCCCAAACGGGTTCATTTGAGAGGGGGTTGAACAGCCCGCCCTCCTTTCATTAGGCAGAAATTTTCTTCCCTTCCTATTTTCATTTCACACCCACCCTCTTCTATTTATGTATTTTTATGCCTTAGAGTTTAGCTTAGAATATCATCTGATTTTAGTTTGTGAGGACAGCCGCCGGCGTCTAGTTTTCCTCTCGAGGGTTGTATCTGACGAATAGGGTGGTGGTTCGGCTGTATCCCTCTCCCCAGTAGTGATTATCTTCTCCGACTTTCACCTGCACCCTCCCTCCATGCCGCCAACCGCTGCTGTCCAGCAATCCGCAATCCATCAGACCACCTACATCTCTACGACTTCCAGATCTTCTTGTTCTGCATTGCAGCCTCATTCCTGCATTCCTAAACCTTCCCAGCCGCTGATCTCATCCCAAAACCCCTACAACACCTGAAATATCCCCTCCACCCCTCCCGTTATTACCCTCAGTCACCCAGCAGTTTTACTGAATCGCAACAACTTCCCACATCAACACCCTCCCAATGACGTAACTCCTTCCAAATCTCCTTAGCACTGTCAAAACTCCTTCCCGGGTCCCTCCTCATAAGTCCTTACCAGGTCACAATCCTGCTGCTGTTACTCCCTTTCCGCTCCATTACTACAGCATATAACCTCCCCCTACCACTTGCCACAAGCCTCCCTCCCAACCACAGAGTTACCACAGCAGCCTCTCCCACAGCCTCCTTCCCTCCAACAGCAACCAACCCTCTGCCCAGCAGCCCTCCATGCTGCAGCCTCCACGCCATCGCTCCGCAGCCCACCACCGTCATCCTGGCCCCAAGGGTGTCTTTTATATAAATGTTGTCCATTTTATATTATCAAGAGTTTGTTTGTAACACCGTTAAATTTCAAATTTAAATATTTTTGTTTCGTCGTGGTTGGGGTTATCTCCAGTATCATTTGGTATCAGAGCTAGTGTAACCCTAGTCCTATTCTAGGTTTCCTAGCGTCCGCCCATTCCCAAGCAACCACCACATAAGTTTTTCTGTCCTATTCCCAACCATAGCAAAAACTTTGACATAACCTTAAATTCTTCTTGTTGATTTCCAAAATCAGCAGCCCTGAATTAAATTTTAGTCCTCTTTCACCTCCCAACTCTAAACCCTAACCATGCCACCATTGAGATACATGCCCGAACATTCCAGGGAAGAGATATAGCGAGAGATCCACCGACTTCAGCAGTGGATTACAAACATGGAAGATGAAATCCAATGGAAGGCTACCCTCGACCGTGATCTGAAATGTTGAAGGGGAGAAGAAAAGATATGGAGATGAAGAGAGAAACACAATGTCACTTCCTACCAACTTACTAACACCAAAAGTTGCAGACTCTAGCTTTCAAAATGGAGAGACCATAGCACCAAGCGACCTACTGGCTACTATCCAGCGAAACTAATTCGCAAGTCTGTCACAGCCGAAAAATATTACAAGTGCTATGTATTTGAACATGTTGAAGCAGAATGCAAAAAAATGAGAGTAAACAACTTCAACGAGCAGGGCGTCATCGAAAAGTTCGATAAAGACATCACATGCATTGAAGATGATGAGGACGTAAACAAAGAGAACCTGCTTCCAGTTGAGGAAGACAAGATACACTTAGTCCCAGCTGAGCTCGTAGAAGAGACTCCAATCGATTTCATTGTAAGTGGCCAATGCAGTTACGAGTTTGAGGAGTCAACAACAGAAAAAGGGGCCCCACAAACAAGAGCAAGGCAGATACTTCAGATCTATAGACCTCCTTTTGAGTTGCCCCTACGGTGGGAGGTTCAGCATGTCCAAAGATTAGTCACTATACCCCATGCCTGGGCTATTGCAGTGAGTAGTTCAAATGTTAGAGTTAGCTCAGTAGGGCACCTATTAGCAGATTTCTAAATGGTTGGGTTGAACCTCAACTCTGAAATGTGCTCTATGAGCCTAAGGGGGATGAAAATTTTTCAATGAGATTCAGGTCCAGTCACAGAAAAAGATCTCTCTTATGTGATCACTAGTAAGAGGCACAACCTGCCACAGATTTTATCTCAAAACCAAGTTCTGATCACATATTTGTTACTCAACCACCACACATTGGGAACGAGAAGTGGAAGGAGAAGATTTCAAACGTAAGAGCTCGAGAGTTGCATTGCGTGAACCCACTTCTATATGCAGCTCCCAGTCAGGATGTGCCAAAAGAGGATAGCTACCTATTCTACCAGAATGTGTTGTAGATTGACAACACCGGCATGATCAACCTACCAGGAGACTTAACATCGTACCATGAGGATCCAAGAGATTTGACGAATTAGGTCGGAGCACCTTCAATCACAGGAGAATGACACGGGGGTTTTCATCCAAAAGCTAAATCGGATTGGCCCAAACCGGTCGAATTGAGAGAGCAGGCTGAACTGACGCCCCCCCC